GGGGCCCGATTCCGCGGCGGCGGAAATCAGGCCTCCAAAGCGGGGGGAAATCCGCCCCCCGGGGGGACTTGGCAGCCCTAGGGGTTGCCCACTGTGGCCTGGCCATCCAAGACTAAAATGAATAAATTTACTTTTAAAAAGAGGAAGAGTCCAATAGCACCATTAAGGTGCTACTGGACTCTTACTGTTTTCTTCTACTACAGACAGACTAACAGGGCTACTCATCTTGATCTAATTTACTTTAAAGTCTCCATCCATCCCCTCACCGCAATTCAGAAACAGGCTTGTATAACAGAATGAATGCAAGTTGGTTGGGTGAAAAAGAGGTTTAAATCTCCCCCATGCACTTTCAACAATCAAAACAATGTACTCTCTTTTTTTCTACTGAAGACTAGTGTCGACCTGGGGTGAGGTGAATCAGTGGAAACCACAGGAGGAAACTGTTAAACCCTCTCTCCCAAATTGTGCAATCCCAGTAGGGCTTCTATTAACAATTTTAAAACATTGAGAGTATTACACCACAACCCCCTCACTCACTCACTCACCTAGTTGAACTCTGATGCTGCTTCAGTCTTTCTGCATGCTCCTCATCAAATCAAAGTGCCCTATCTTTGAGCAACAGCCTGCCCCTGAACCCCTTCAAATAGGCACAGTTTCCCTGCAAAGAACCTTGTGTCTTGTAATTCTGTGAAGATGCCAAAAATGATTTTTTTTAGAAATTACTGAGCTCTGTGGCAAGCTGAGGTCCATGAGGAAGAGCATCCATGGTCAACAAAGAGTCAGAGGTACATATGCTGATAGAGTCCAAGCTTCTGTTCATTTGGAGCTGCTACAATGACTTCATTGCCTGCCTTCCCCAGGAACATTCTCCCTATGGCCAGGGCATCTTCCATTGCTTGCTCTGGGCTGCAGGTGCCTGCTGTGCCTTATGGGTGTTGACCTCCTTCCCTTCCCCCTGCATGCAGTATTCCTTGAGGCTATCAAGTTGCCATTCCTGCCTCCAAGTTGGGCATGGAGTTCTCCCAGAATTATGACTGATCTCCAAACTAGAGACAGCAGTTCCCCTGGAGAAAATGGCAGCTTTGGAGGGTGGACTCTATGGCGTAACATCCCTGCTGAGCTCCCTCCTATTCCCAAACTCTACTCTCCCAAGGCGCTGCACCAAAATCTCCAGGAATATCTCAAGCCAGAGTTGGAAACCCTACTCCTGCTTCAGCCCCACACCTCATCAAGCATCTTCCACTTCCTCTCTGTTGACTGGGTTAAGCTTCATTAAGGTATCCTGGACTTCTTGGTTCTTGTCAGGAGCCCCGAGCCGACCCGACGCAGAGGACAGAACGGGACATCCTGCTTCCAGGACGCAGAGATACCAGAATCAAGGAAGTCGGAAGGGCCCGACCAGCGATAAGGGAACCAAGGCCGAATGTCGACAAAGATGGATGCCCAGTTGTAACAAGAGAACCGGCCCGAATCGAGAAGACGCAAGGCGGGCTAAGCTGGGAATGTTGCTTTAAGCGGGAGGGAGTGGGAAACAATGAGAATAAAGATGACACAAGTGTTACACACCAGGGAGGAATAGATTGGGACGAAACTGGTGAGGGATCAGCTGTGAGTAAACACTGACCCGGGGTTTCGGCCCGATAAAAAGAGGAGAAGCCTAATTACCAGGGGCTCTCTTTCTTACATTCTGAGGTGTGTGAACAGGAAAGTCACGACTTCTCATACCTCTTCCCGCTTAAACGAAGCCCTGAGCTATTCCATACTGAGATCTTCACAGTTCTGTATATAAGCTAGTTTCCCCAGGGTGTCAGGAAGGTGACTAGGAGCCAGTATCTGTGCCACTAGCTGATGGCAGTGAACCAACATCAGAAAAGGACCCCTGAGTCTTACTAATGGGGGGGGGAGGTGTCTACCGGCTATCAAAGAGCAGGACTGTGTGCCCCTTTGGCTTCTTTTCAGAACTGCAGATTCCTTGGTTAACAGTCATGAAACAGCTTTTAAGCTTGTTTAACATCTGGAGTGTAGATATTCTAGTCAAATATATACATACGAGCAAAATAGATGGCAAGGCGACAAAAGACACTTCTGAACAGGATCACTTAGAATTTTTTATTTTATAAAAGGCATTTTAAATAAAAAATATAAAAAATAAATATTTAAATAATGTACAATATATTAACCTCAGAAATATTATTATTACTATGCAAAAGTCACATAAAATATGACCCTTGGTCCCTCCAAGGATCACTAAATGATGCTGTCCATAGACCAAGGCACACTGCCTACCCTGTTGCCACAGACCAAATAAATAGTCATTCTAAATCATAATAATTATTACATTAACAATAATAGCAGTCATTATAATTAGACCTCACACTGCTGAATGTTAAATACCCTCACAACATCCCTGTGAGGTAGGTAAGTCATAGTTGCTCCCACTTCCTACACTCCTGTATTTAATGTAAGAAGAGAGGGAATGAGGGGAGATCCAATTCTGACCCATCTTACATAAGAGCAGCTCTTGATTATCACCACAATGTAAGTACGAGAAGAATTCTCTGATGTGTCCAAACAGGTCAGTCGAGAGCCAGAAAGCTGAAGCATTCTTTTGGGCCTTTCCCCGGCCCTCCAATATATGGCTCCGGACTGAACTGTAACATTCATCGGTCGGTCTCTGGATCTCTCAGGCTACATTCTGCATTGTGCTTTTTTGGGGAACGATGGCCAAAGAATCTGGCAGAATGTCCAGTCTGAGGATTCCATTAGCAATCAGATTCCTGGGGTGCAAGTGCCATGCCTCCCAGGAGGGGGTGGGATGTGCATTTGAATATATTCATACATCCAAAAGTAGGTAATTAAAAAAAATAGCTCTTTTCTTAACGTTGAATTTGAGCTAAAGAAAAAGCAAGGTGGCAAGAAAAAAACAGAAATACCCTTCTTAGACCAACTTGGAACCAGCCAGATGGCAACAACTTAGAAGTCAATATTACAAAAAGCTTGTTCAAGGCAATAAAAACATTAAGAACACTTTTTAGAAGGTTTAAAGTGTAAACACCTCACATTAATTATATCAGTATTTATTACAATATAGCCCATGTACAGTAGGACATTATTATAATAACCAGATAAATCTGAATGTTAATAAAGACAACCATGAAGAGGCTGCCTGGTTTATGAATGAGGCCACCATCTCACCTGACAGTATTTGTGTGCCACTTATAGTAAAAAGCGGAGCACTGACAGATGTTATTCATCCAAGCTGTGATCCACCAGATGTTATAGAACCACCTGATAGAATGTGCTATGTTAATTGTTCAGATCAGGGATGTAATTGTGCCTCTGGCACCAAAATGTTTCAAGCCAATCTTGCAGACAAGAGCTAATGTTTTTTAAAAAAATACCTCTTTCCACTTTCCGAATAGTTCCATTTTATCTTGCTAATTTCCCACCCCCTTATAACAATGACACCTTTAACCTGGAAAGGTGCTGAATCTTATTGCAAAAAGCTAGAATTCAAATACGTTAAAAAAAATAAATCACTGGGATTCAAATAAATATTAATCTGACAGCTACCAGGCAGCTGATATTAATAATAAAAACCAGAGAAGCTGGGCAATAAATAATAAGGAATTATGACAAGGTTGACTCCAGGTTTTAGGGGACCCAGGGCCTCTATAGTGTCTCCCCACAGAGCCCGTTTCTGCCTATATGTACACACATGCACGTACCTGCACTGGCAAGGCAAAAAGTAGCTTGAAGGCTATGCCCTCTGCTTCTTCCCCCATGTGCCACTAGCACCAGATTGAAATGAATAGGCAAGTGAATGGTAGCTTGAAGGCTACTTGGATCACAGCCCTCTGCTTCTTCCCCCATGCTTCTTCCCCCAGATTGAAATGAATAGGCAAGTGAATGAACTGAATCCTCTCCTGGGTAACCAAACAGCAATGATGGCAAGCTGCATCTGCTAAGCTGCCACCACTTCCCTGCTTCTCTCTTCAGCAGCAGTAGCAGCTAGGAATGACATTGGAATTAGGTCCTCTTTTTGGCACCTACGCCAAGAAGAGCCATACACTGTATGCATTAATAATAAGAAGGCCTAATCCCTTCAGGGAGCCAAATCCTGCTGCCACAAATGCCACCCAAACAGAGAGCTCAGGAAGCAATGTCTATGCCTTACTGTTACACAGCAGCAAGCCTCAGGGGTTGTTGGTAAGACATCCTGTTGCACCAAGGCCCCAGCAGCTGCTCAGCAATGCCAACCCCTGATTCCAGCCCAAGGTTGCAAAAGAACTTTTGACTAGAAGAACCTGGGGGTTGCCTTGGAATTGCAGAGATGAATCCAGCCATCCACGGAAGAGAATCCTACAGCGAAGGAGGGATCACAGCTCCAAAGAATAGATGGAAAGATCCTTTGAGAGAGGCTGGAGATCTCATCTAAGGACCATGTGGATGTAACTAGTGGAGCAACAGTGCCTATTTCATTGCATTATCCCCTGCCTGGAAGGGTCCCTTCCCCTCCAAAGCAAGCAGGAGGTGCTAGCTGAAGTTATACCGGCTTGTGGCATTTATTCAAGATGGAAGCTGCCTCCAAGACGACTCCTTTGTACCATCTTAGCACCTGGCAGCCTTGCTTCTTCTTCTGGAACTTTCCCTTCCAATCAGAGCTATTGCCGTAAGTCACATCTACATGAGAGACATTGTACTCAGAGCACAGCAGGCAAGTAAGGTTGGAAAGGAGGCCTCGTACTGCATCGGAGGTGTTATTAAGGTTTTGTAGCAGCTGAGTTACAGTAGGGTTGAAGTCCATCTGATCTCTGGTAATATTGCCCAATGAAGCATTGAAAAAGACAAAGATCTTATACAGGGCTACCAGGATCTCCTTTTTTTTACATGTTTGATTTATAGAGGGGAAAGTGGCATTAAGTGGGCAGGTATCGTTCAGTTTCTGCTTATCAGTGAATGGTGAGCCTTGGTGATCCAGCTGTTCAGGAGAGAAAGAAAAAGAAATATATAAGCACTGAAACAAATGTATTTTTTTAAATATCCCCCCTCCAATTTCAAGTCTTGCCATTCACATATTGAATGCAGCATGTTGAATTTGAAATCTGGATCTGTGTTTCGTATGTCGACTTCTAGTTCAGAAGGTGTTCTGGTTGGCATCTCTTGGATCTTTGGCTTTTGGCAGGCAGCGAGTTGGACATGCTACATGGTTAATGTTGTCAAATACTAAATTGCGCATCATCAATCAGATACTAAATACCACTGCATGCCAATCATTGAGTGCAGTCAAATATTATAAACACTAATTGCATGGCAACTATCAAATTGTCAGACTATTCAACTTCAAAATGTACATTGAAAAATTTAGGAAGCAATTTTTTTCACCTCTAGAAAGAGTGACACAGATTTCTTAGAGCCACCCAAGCGGAATATGCACAAAATTTCCAAAATGAATGTGTCAGACTTGCTGACTATCTTTCTGCCACTGTAAAGATTCTCTGTAGCCTTTGTTTAATGGCCATGGCCTTCGACACTTTAATGGGTAGACTAATCAGCTAATCAATTAGATTGGTCAGTGGAGCCCAACTTTAATTGGTTCCTGTGCCTCAAGTGAAATAGAACATATTTAAAATGGCCTTTGCTTCTATCAATTAACAGTAAGTTTTATTTAAAGTCACCTTATACTTATTTATTTGTATCTCAAGTTCTTACTGAAATTTCACTTAAAACAAGTTTTAAAGAAAATTTTGGGTGTTCTTTCTCAAGCAAAATATACTTGTGGAATTTTGAAGCAAAGCAAAAGAGTTTTCATATAGCTCTCAGAATACCTTACGAAGGCTTTGTGTCTCTTGATGTGATCATGGGATTTTGGCTAAAACAAAATTTGAAGAGAAGCGGAGATTCCTTCTCAAGTGAACCTTTGGTGGATAGCCAGAAATTTTCCAGCTATATCAGCAAGTTGTGCTGGGAAAATTTCACATCTCTCCGTAGTGGTAATCATTTATTTATTTATTTATTTACTTATTTATTTATTTATTTGATTTATATCCCTCCCTCCCCGCATGCGGGCTCAGGGCGGCGTAATATGTCAAGGTATTTAAATATAGGTGACCAAGAATTTTGATACACTTCCCCAAAGTGTTTGACGACCTCTGGTATGAAGCCTAAGGGCATAGTGCTCCAATTACATGTATGTGTGTTGGAAAATCATTACATGGGAACTTACATAGACATCCAGTAGTGCTGGGGCTAGCCTGTTCAGCTCTGCCACCTGGTTCCGAATCTGACCAAAGACATGATGATTGCATTGACTTGAGTTGTGACACATGAGACTGCGTTTCTTCATCAGCAGTGGTTTTCCAGACAACAGCTTGCAGTGCAAGGTCAGCAGCAATGGGATAACTCCTGTTTGGAAGAGTGGAGGAGGGGAATTGTGAGATTCCTACTCTGTGCAGAAAACCTCTGCATCTGTCCTCAACATCATGGTAATAGGTTGGCCCTTCATGAGATTGAGCCACAATGTCGTGGAAGGCCGAAGTACTGCTAAATCGGGACCCTAGTATCACATCTTATTGCACACCACCCCAAATTGACTGAAGAATGACCATCATTGCGAGCACTTCATTGCATTTAATTGTATTTAAGGTACTACTGTTTTATCTTGTTTTTAAATATTTTGTGCCAGTTTTGACACATGGTGCCGTCAATAGTGAGCCGCCCTGAGCCCGTTCGCGGGGAGGGCAGGATATAAATCCAGTAAATAAATAAAATAATAATAATTTTAAAAAATTGATTACCCAAGTTGTATACTTGGAGCCTGTGAAATAGGGTTCTTAATCCAGCTTCTAGATCTCTTGCCCTCAGATGTTAGATGGGTAACAACTGAGGAAGGACCTGTTCTGTGACGGCACTCTAGTTATGCAGCATTCCCCACAGAGGTTAAGACAATGCTATTCTGTTGTTTAATACATGACCATATCATTTTTCTTTACCACTGTTACTGCCACAGCTCTTATAGCTTGATCTTTTAGGGCCTGCTGGCTGATTCTAATTTCTTGCTATTAGCTGTTTGGTATTTAATACCATGCTTGTTGCTTGCTTTCAAGGAAAAAACAATTTAAAATAACTAAGTAAAAGTATATACTGGCTTGGATCCAATCACACCATTTTGTCAAGAGGAAGGGGCAGTTTCTGCCTATCCCCTCCTCCCTGCAGCCTCTTGAAATTTTGTTCCTCAGGGTCAGCAAACCCTCAGGACCAGCGCAGTGGTAGTCTGCAGTGCGGGGGGCGATCGGTGAAAACTTAAGGGCACTTACAGTGCAATCCAAAGAAAATTTTCCTGGGCACAAGTCTCACTGAATATATCTCAGTAGGATTCTAAGTAGGCCTGCTTGGAATTTGTCTCTTACAGGCCACTGAGCCAAAGCTAAGCAATTAATGGAACAAATTAATGGAGGCTGATGTGGAAATGACACAGAACAGGTCATGATGCGAACACAGTCCACTTGTAATGGTAGAAGAATGAAGGCCTGTTTATGGCGTGTGGGGGAATGGGGAGGGGAGAGGGCAAGTGGATGTGATGCTCAGATCCACCGATCATCAGGGTTGCCAAGAACCACCCTGGAACCCAAGCAAAGACCTCTGGGGGTCCCATTCTCACCTAACTCAGCATCATATGAAAACAAACACCTGACTTGCCAAACTCCATGGGCTTCCAGAATGAGCAAGGTCCCCGTAAATTCCACCCTCTATTCCTCACCTCTTGACGAACAGATCAGAAATGAAGCTGACATTTCAGGTCCATTTTATGCATTATAACAGGCAGAGAGACTGGGATGTCTACCTTCTTGTATAGCCATCAATTGATCAGGAATCCGGATGCAAAGCACATTTAAGACTGCCTTTTCTGTTTTGCACACATGCATGCCAACAGTGGGAGGGGGCCAGAAAGTGTTCTCTCAATGGCACATGTGAATTCAGTCTTCCCCACGACACGAGAAGAAGAAGTCTGGACTTGCCTGAATGTCAAGCAGCCAGTGTTGGCTGTCTGCCGCTTTCCTCCCAGAGTATTACAGTCAGGTGCCTTTCTCCCCCTCCCTGGCCACCCCCTGCCACGCTCCCGCTCTCAGTTCGGGAAGCCCTACCCAGCTACGTCATCAGAATTCCCCTTCCAGCCTGAGAGCCAGGAGGCAGCGTTCCCAGATTTCATAATAACCTGTCAAATATGCAAAGCAGTTCCAGCCCCAGCCTACTCCACGTGTCCTCAGCTCAAAGCAATGAGAAAGAAGCAAGCCAGCTGGAATGTTTCCAGTTAAGCAGATGAACAGAAATACTTTAGGACAAGTCTGTTCCTTCCTCGCCATGGCCACTGGCTTTTCTGCAATTATTATGGGCTATATTTGCATCTTCTCCTCTGAGGACTTTGGAAGGCATTCTAACCTCAGAACAACCCTGCAAGGTAGGTTAGGCTGAGAGACAATCGACTAACTTACGGCCACTCACTCAGGAAGGTGCCTTCTCCTGAGTCAGAACATTGATTTAGCTAGCTTGTCTGATCTGGCTGGCAGCAGCAGTCCAAAGTCTCAGTCAGAGAAGTCTCGCTACCTACTATTGGAGATCCTTAAACTGGAGATGCTAAGATTGGACCCGGGACCTTCTGCAGGTACACCTTGTATTCTGTCACAGAATAAACACTTATCCACCTGGCAAGCTTTGTAACTGGGACTGGTTGTTTTGCCTGCTATGGTTACACCAGCATCACCCACTGTGTTCCCTGCACTAAACCCAAGACGTGTGAATACAGCCAGACTTCTTTTTAATAAAGGAGGGATCTTTATTAAATCAGGGATCAGGGTTCTTTATTAAAAACAAATGTTGTTAGCCTGTAGGCTGCCACTGGATTTTAGTTTTATTCTGCCATCAGGGATCCAGAATAGGACTCCTGTCTCAAAAATGTGGGCAGAAGGAGCTTAAATTCACACACCCATCATTCACACATGTTTCCTGCAGAAAACACTGGCCCATCCCCCAGCAAGCACAGGCCCCGTGCAAAGCGTGGAGGTGATCGGAATGGGGCTTCCAACATCTACACCAAAACGTATTACATTTGTACCTGATTGCCTCCAAAAAAACCTCTGGGGAATGCAGTTAATGAAGGTGCTGACTGAATTCTCTGTTAGAAAGTGTCATCTGCTGACCACTTTTGGAACCTATTTATTTGTTCGAATACTCAAATTATATATAGAAATAAATAATGTCATCTGGTATTGTTAACACTAATAATTGTACCCTCAGTACTCATAGCTTTAGATAATAGTTATACAATATTACCACAAAGTGTATCTAGCCTTTGTTAAGCACACAACAAGAGCTAGGTGCACCTAATTCCAATGGGTTTGTGTTCTGTATCTCTTGCATTTTGTGCAAAATTAAACTCATTAAGACTAACTCATTTCCAGGCTGTTTCAAAAGAACATAGGCATATTTATGCTGAGTCAGATCAAACACCATCTATTGTAGCATTGTTTCTGACAACAGCTAGCAGGATGCCTCTGAGAAACCTAAAAGCAGGGCATGAAGGCAACAGCCTTTCCCTGTTTGTCGTCTCCAGCATTTGATCATCACAGGTATACTGCCTCTTTACAGGGAGGCTCCATTTAACTATACCTGTAACCATACATCATTTACTATTGGCCAGCACTGTTGTATAAATAATACATTGTAGTGCCAAGATATAGGCTGTGAAAAATCACACAGCAATAAATTTTTAAGGGTTTTAAGGGACTTTTTAAAGAAAAAAACCCTGTCTGGGTTATTTTAGTTACAGTATGTTAATTTTCCAGCTGAGGAGGTATTTCAAGATTTATGTCACCCTAGCAGCACAGCTGTTGCAAACCTTATCTTGCTTATCTCAGTTTGCAATAAAACAATTTAAGAGAAAAGTCTAGGGAAGAAATAAAGCAACCAGAAACCTACAAAGTGTGGGAGAAAATCCCAGCATTCCAGACTGGCAGAACTACATCATTCCTTAGAAAGGACCAAGCACTCATTCCATCATTCTGGCTTGGTTGGAGTCCCAGAGTTTAATACAGTCTTATAGGAGGGTTGAGTAGATCCACTTGGTAGCTTTTCCATTTCCCACAACTTAAAAAAACAAAACAAAACTGAATTCAACAGAAAAAGAGTGGGGAAAGCCCTACTTTAACACCCTATCTTAGTTTCCCCAGAAAACTGAGAATAAAGGAAAGCTTTCATAAGTCCTTTTCTTCGCTGGCCAGATGTTTAGCAGAAGTATGCCAAAACGCAGCATGTTCTTCTTTTAGTGCCAAATATGCAGGGATGCTCAGACAAGAAGAAGGAAGAAGGGTGTTAAAGTTCAGATAGGTTATGCTTGGATCTCAAGCAGGCCGGTCGACAAAGTTAAAAAATAGACCATAGTTTGAAGAAGATGAGTTACCTGCAATCATGAGATTCATTGTAAGCTGCATCTCGAGATGACTTAAGAGAGATGGTTGTTGACAGCAGAGCTCATTCAGAGAATCATGTTCATACTGGGGGATGTCACTGGTTATATACAGGTCCAGTAAGCCTGTGTTGTAAGAAAGTGGGGGGAGCCAAAGTGAGGGTAAGGCAGATTTCATTCAAGCTCAGAAAGTCCATGGAAACAATGAACAGTTTGAACAGTTTCAAAGAAATTGAATTTTTTTGCAGGGTGTTGAGGTCACATTCTGTGGTTTTGTGGTTCCTCCCTCCCCTTGCCTGTGTATGGCTCATTTTGGAATTGTTTGATGCAAATGAAGTGGGCTGATAAAATAACATCATTTTAAAAAGTAGCGAATTGGATCCTGTTCCCACTAAGAGGAGGGGAAGAAAGCTGCCTACATGAGTGTTAAACCTCCCCCCCCCCCCCCCCCCCGCTGAACACTTTCACCTTGCCAGGGTGATTCCCCTGAGACTGACACTTTCTTTGGTATGTCTGGGTGCTTGCCAGTGTGAAGGCAGAAATACCCCCACCCACCACCAACAACCTAATTTTTGGAAATTATTAAGAGAGAGGGCCATCGTGCCTGGGAAAGAATTTTGTGTGGGCGAGAAAAAGGCAAGAAGTGACATGAATTACTCTGTGTTTGTTTGTGTGTGCGCGTGTGCGTGCGTGCCAGAGAGAGAGTGCAAGTGTGTATATTGCCCCCTGGTGGTTTGTTTGGCAAAGATGGCAATTCATTCATCAAATGGCAGGGGTATTTACAAATTCGATATAGAGGTTTGGAAGTATTCAACGAATGGGTGCAAAAGAATTCCGAATCTGTGTGACAAAACTATAGAGCATGAAAAGTATGCAGACGGAGAGTGATTTCAGCTAAGCATACCTTTATTTGGTTCAGGACAAAGACAACTGACCAGCTCGCAGGCCGGTTTATATGCGTTCAGAAAACCCGCCACCAAGTACCCATAAACACACCCCCTACTCCTAATAGGCTATTTACAGTAACCGGGTGACCATTGGTCTCCCGGCTGGAAAGCTAGCCCTTTGATTGGGCCAGCTAGGATCCTTTGGATCTTTTGTCTTTCGACTCAAGCTACAGACGGTTTGTGCCGGGCAAGTCCGGGCATGTCAGGCCGAATACATTACACCCCTCCTCCCCTTGGTCTGCAATGCACCCACAGACGAAGTCCTTTAGGTGCGCTGGTGGCTTCCTGGGTCGCGTCGAGCGGCGAGGTTCCGGGGTGGCTATGAGCTCTGCCTCTGGGGCCCTTGGGGCCGCGTGGACCGGGGCCGGCGCGGGGTCCGCCGGGGTTGGAGTGGCTGGTACCTC